CGGAAGGCGGAGGCGGAAGGATCGCTGGAGCCCAGCAGGCTGAGGCTGCGGGAGCGGCACTGCACTCCAGTCTGGGCGACAGAGTGAGACTCCGACGCAAAAAAATAAAATAAAATAAATAAAATAAATTTTAAAAATTAGGTGGGCATGGTGGTGCGTGCCTGTAGTGCTAGCTACTTGGAAGGTTGAGACAGAAGGATCACCTGAGCACAGCAGGTCAAGGCTGTGGTGGCCATGAGCGTGCCACTGTACTCCAGTCTGAGCAACAGAAACTCAAACTCAAACTCAAAAAAAAAAAAATAGCACAGAAAAGCTCCCAAGCGAGAGGGGGCCTGAAACAGGGTTGCCCTCTTCAAAAGTCTTAAGAGTCTGGTGGTTCCCCAGACTTGGGTGTATACCCAAGAAAACTGAAAACATATGCCCCACAAAAACTTGCATACAAATGTTCACAGAAGCATTATTTACAATCTCCAAAAAGTAGAAACAATCCAAATGTCCACTAACTCATGAATGAATAAAGAAAATAATGATCTATCTATACAGTGAAATATTCTTTCATAAGAAAAAGAATTGAAGTATCGATAGGATGCTACAGTATAAATGAACCTTGGAAACACGACGCTAAGTGAAAGAAGCCAGTCATAAAAGACCACATATTTTATGATGCTGTTTATATGAAATATCCAGAGTAGGCAAATCTATAAAGTAGATTTGTAGTTGCCTGAGAGGGGTTAGAAGGAAATGGGTAGGAACTATTCATAACTATGCAGTTTCTCTCTTTTTTTAATTCTGGTAAGATACACATATCACAAACTTCATCATTTTAACCATTATTAAGTATACAATTCAGTGGCATTAAGTCCATCCACCATGTTGTACAGCTATCACCGCTACCCATTTTCAAAGCCTTTCCATCATCCCAAACAGGGTGTGGTCTGAGGTTCCTTTCTGGGGTGATAAAAATATTCTAAAACTGATTGTGGTGGCCAGGCACAGTGGCTCACGCCTACAATCCCAGCACTTTGGGAGGCTGAGGTGAGAGGATTCCCTAAGCCCAAGAGTTTGAGACCAGTCTGGGCAACTTGGCAAGACCCACAATACATTAAAAAACTAGCTGGGTGTGGTGGCACACGCCTGTAGTTCCAGCTGTTTGAGGTTGTGGTGGTCGTAATCATGCCACTGCACTCAAGCCTAGGCAACATAGTGAGACTCCAACTCAAAAAATAAAATAAAATAAAAAAATATAATGTAAAATAATAAAATTGACTGTGGTGATTGACTGCACAACTCTGTGCAAATTCTATGGTATGTTAATTATATTGCAAAATGAAGAATTATTTTTTTTTTGAGGTGGAGTCTCACTCTGTCTCCCAGGCTGGAGTGCAGTGGAACGCACACAGCCACTGCAGCCTCAACATGCTGGGCTCAGGTGATCCTTCTGCCTCAGCCTTCCGAGTAGATGGAAATACAGGCATGCGCTACCACGCCTGGCTAATTTTTTGATTTATTGTAGAGATGAGGTCTCATCAAGTTGCCCAGGCTGGTCCTGAACCCATGGGCTCAGGCATTCCTCTCACCTCGGCCTCCCAAAGTGCTGGGATTCTGGGCGTGAGCCACCACACGCCCAGCCATGAAGGCATTATTTAATTTTTTTTTTTTTTTTTTTGAGTTGGACCTCTCACTGTCACACAGGCTGGAATGCAGTGGATCACTCACGACCACCCCAGCGTCAACCTGTTGGGTTCCGGCGATCCTTCTGCTTCAGCCTTCCAAATAGCTGGAACTACAGGTGCGTGCTACCCGACTAATTTCTGATTTATTGTAGTGATGAGGTCTTGCCAAGTTGCCCAGGCTGGTCTCGAACCCATGGTCTCAGGCAATCCACTTGCCTTGGTCTCCCAAAGTGCTGGGATTATAGGCTGAGCCACCAAGCCCAGCCAACTTTTTAAAAATGAAGTTAATGTACATACAGTGCATAGTCCCAAGAAAATCAGTTTTGTTTTGTTGTTTTTTTTGAGTTGGAGTCTCACTCTGTCGCCCAGACTGGAGTGCAGTGGCCGG